TTTAGGGGTTTAGAGTTTAGGGAGTGTCAGAGGAGATGCGCCTTTGTAGGCTTCTAAAGGGACGTTATCAGGATTGATGCTTGCTTTTCATTCGTAAGGACCCCCCCCCACTGCAATGGAGAGCAATGAAACACGAATTGGTAAAACAAGAAATAGCGATCCTAAATGGAATCTAAGTTTGAGGCCTTGGACTCTTAGGATTCCAGACTACGCCTCAAACCTTAGCTTCCATTTCTGGGCTGCAGGTGTGTTTGTCCTTCCCTTCTAGGGGGGCTTTAACCACAAATTCGCCTCTGCCTTTAAAATAGTCTTTGATTTTGCAACATTCTCTCTAAGTCTAGAGGGCTTTATTAATGTAGAGCTATGTGTGTCACCCAAACGCTGGGAATATGGCCGTGAGGAATTCCATGCTCCAATGAAGTTTGGGCTGGCACTCGGTTCATGGGTCACCCTCACAGGCGTGTGATAGCGGAAGTATTGTTCAGAAGGTCGGCTTCGTGGCACAAGAGGTAAGTTGCGATGTGCTGCAGTGCCACATTAAGTATTTTGCCTTGAATACAACAGGGTTTCCGGTTGCTGCTTGCCGAGCGGTCTGCTTTCTATTGCTATCAGTGATTATATAGGCTGCTTCTAGCTGGTCACGTCGGGAGCAGGTCTTGCTAGATTGCAAGATGCTTGTTTAAGTTCAGTCGTACAATAGGGAGGCCAGAAACAAACCCCGACTCCTTGTCACTGCCTGGGAGTTTGAAAAAATTACCCTGAACCCCTAACCCTAAACCCTAAACGTTATTCAATCCTGAGTAGGATCCCTACATTACCTCTTGCTCCCCCGAAATCCCAAGGGTCCTTTCGCAGCCGCCCCTAACCCCTACAAACCCCTAAACCCTCAATCGCCTTAGATCCTACCCCTACACCCTAAACCCTCAATTGCCTTAAATCCTACTCCTATACCCTAAAGCCTAAACCCCCAACCCTAAACCCTAAACCCTGACCCGCCTAGCTAAGGTCCAGCACTTCTGGGAGTTCTGCCGTTTGTATTTCGAGCTCCTCGAGCCATTGCAAGATCTTAGGGTACTGGTTTAGGGTTTAGGGATGTTTAGGGTTTCGGGCCCACCTGGGGAATGTGTCAAGTAGGGGTTATAGTATTCCACTGACTGTATCGTGTTTGGGTGTAGTACTTCAAATGGAAGCACCGTAGTACAGGATATGATTATCTCCCCCTTTCGGTTATGGTACGTTCAATAACATACGGCCACTTGTCTCAAATAGAATTATGTATACCCAACCTCCAAAGTTATACGCGATAGGCCGTGTATAGGAATCAGAGTGGCCTTCGCATGTTAGTTTTGGGAACACTTGCCATCTTGGCACTTTCGGAAGGATTGGTTGCCCGGAGGCCTAAGCCAGATTTCTGCCGCATCCACCGCACCCCGCATGACTATGCCTCAACATGCGGGCCTCGCTTCATGTCAAAGTCATGAGAATCTTGTTCCGCAGAAGGGGCCCATAGTTTTGAGAGTTGGGAGTTCCTTGAAGTCATCCCAACAAAGTTCCGACAGGGGGCCCTGGTAAATTCTATTGTAACCCTCCACGAAACTTGAGCCCCTGAAAGCACTCCGTCTTTTTGAGAAATTTCCACACACGTGGATTTTTCACCAGGTCGAAGGGGATTGACCCCAAAGGCACCAAGATGATGCGGAGGCTGACAGTGGCGGGCTTGGCCAATTCACTTACTGGTGGTAAGCCGGGAAAGGGAACAAAATCTTTATATAGTTCCTATATAGTTTATTCTCTTGTTCCCTTCTACACGATATATTCCGTTACTCCTTACTAACCCCTAGTAAGTTAAGGGGACGGGGTGGGTCAGCACACAGTGGACTTACGGCCTGAATGAGACATGGCCCCACAATCGGAAAACAAGAGGTGGCCCCTTCGAAAGTGGTGGGTTTTTATGGTATCCGCGCAAGGGTACGCGATATACCCCTTTCCGGGACGGAATTTTAAAGTCAGTTTGTGGGGGTTCAAACTGAAGGGCTCCAGCACAAAGGATGGTTTCACATCCTGCCTCCTCAGCATAGACTCCTAAGCTCCCAGGCCTATGCCTTTTCGGCTTTTTACTTGGTAATAGTAAGAACTTGAATCACTACGAGTTTTCTCCTGCACCCAGGATGCCCTGGTGCTACGCGACACATACTGGCACGAGTGGAATCGCGTGCTATTCATGCATCGGCCTTACAGCGGCTGCTGAGGCCTGAAAGCAAGGCACTTCTGGCATCATGATCACGGCTTCTTGTTGGGTCGCAACATGCTTTCAAGTCTCTGGCCAAGGAATGACATCGAGATCACCAAGCTATCCTGGTTCCAAAGCCGGCAGTACCAGGAGGGTTTAGTGGGCGTAGGGTTCCTTCTGAACTGAGTCGCAATGGAAACAAGGGGGTATGCTGGTGGCGTGTACATTGTACATGCATGAAAGCAATTCACGGCAGTCTACTTGCTCAATTGCTAATTCCACCTTTGCCTAGCCAGAAGCCCGGTATGCATGTGCGAAAATCAAAAGCAATCTTTTGCTCCACCTGTCGTTTCGGGAATACCTCAAACGTTTAGATCTCTCTACTTCAAGATGATCCTTAACGGGGCCCTATGCCCTCTTTACGACCATGCATTCCTGAGGTCCCTTAAAGGGCCCCTTTTTTGGTGAATCTGCCATAAGCTTCAGAGCCCTGTGGATCAGATTTATCCTCTCTTGGCAGCGGCTCACACCAAACGCCCGCGAGCAAACCTTCAGGGAAGAACCCTAAACCCCACACCGGGTGGGTTGGCAAAACGAAGAAGAGTAGTTTACAGGCTCGGATAGCTACCCATTACAACTTTTGTCTAGCTATAGTATAAAGTAACCCCCCAGACCCTAAGACAGACTTGAATAGGGATATGACGCGATTATACGCGATTCATACTGGGTCCCTTTACAAGGATTCCGAACGTTACTTTCTCCACCAGTGGGTCCAGTGCTCACCACTCTACTCCAGGACCAATGCAAAACAATCTGTTCTGGAGCTGTTGTAAGGGTGTCTTGGTCCTCCGTTTGTGGAGGGTGGCTTTTGAGGGCTGGGGTTCACGGCACGGCTCGCTTGGATTTATTGCTGAGCTTGATTACAGGGTCATATCTGGCCATGGCTCAGCGCTGGCTCGGCGACTGAGCCTATTCCAAACCCTGGATGCTAACCTCTCAGCAATCAACAAATCCTGTTTTGAACGTGTCTTGGTGGTTGCACGAACTGCTTTTCTCCTAGTCGGAGACATGCTGCCACAACAGAGTATCAGCATGATCATCGCGGCAGAGTATTGCAGCTACATCACAGCCTGCATGCATCAGGGACACTTTTTTATGATGATGGGACATGAGTGCAATGTCCACTGTCCATGATCATCGGAAGCGGTAAAGGTGGGAAGGTTTTAGCAAAGCCTGCCTGTTCAGGACTTTTTCGAGTTCTTAGACTCCGTGGGAGGGCCCCATGGCTGCAAGAGCGCTAGTTCACACAGCAGTTGGGTTGTTCAGTTTTGTTACATAGCGCTATAGGGCGGGAGCTTCGAGGATTTCATTAAGATCCTAGAAGGTCGGGCATACAGACACTGCATGAAGACGAGTCTGTTGTTGGGTGGGGTCAGGACCCTACTTCAACCAGCTGGGTAGGTACCTTGCCATCGGCCACCTTCTGGGAGCCTGCCTATGCCATTTGCGAACCACAGAGCCGCAACCAGGTCGAGAGAAAGGCCTCCGAAAGACCTTCATACCTGCTGGGGCTTAGAAAGGAATAGGGGAATATAGTAGATAGGGGTTATATATGGATGATATTCCCTCACTCCCTACTAAGCCCCAGTAAGCATAGGCACTGTTGGGCTTTATCTAGGCAGACCTCACAATGCCTCAGAGCGAACATGCGGGAGCCGGGATTATGGCTACCTGCATGGTAATGGCAGCACTGGAAGCACGTTGAGGACAGCCATGCCTCCCCAGCTATGACCACCCTCCCTCGTTGTGTAGAGGTTTGTCATGCACATCAAATGTTTTTTTGCAGGAGCTGGAAGTATACGTAGATATGGATGCACACTTTCAGGAGAGATTGAGGAGGAGAATGAGATGCCACGGACGGTGTGCAATACCAACATGAGACAGTCAAACGTCCAGCCTGGAATACTTCAGCGCCTGCCTGCTGCAAACCACAACTGGCCACCTCAAATGATGCCCTTAGGTAAACTCTAAATCCAGGTTTTGGCTCTACCGCTGGGGTGATCATGCGGCGCTGGGCCTACACAGTGGGTTTTGCAAGTCATGCTTTGAGCCAGGATAAACTAAGCATTAAGCCGAAATTGCTTATCCGGAGCGTTTGCCCGGGAACTTTGGTAAGCCCATGGTCCCGCACAGTCATTAGGCTAAGTTGAAGATTTTGGGTTAAGGGGTCCTGTGCCTTGTCATGTAGGGTTTAGGGTTTAGGATTGAGAGGTAAGCCTGTAGGGTTGCAGATTCCATACAGCATCCTCTCCATAGGACCTGAAGTTGTGTAGGGGATCTGAGCGGCTCCGCACGAAGGTTGACAATCTTCAATGCTTGGAGAGACCTGAGGCTCAGTAGGGAGTAGGGAATAAGAATAAGGGAATATGTTACATGGGGATTATGTGAGGATTCTAAACCCCAGTAAGTTGGAGAGACTCCCTGGTTTCGGGTTTCGGCTCTAAGTGTGTAAGGGTTTGGAGTCCAGATTTTGCAGGTTTGGAATAAGCACTATACAGTGTGCCTCCAAGAATGAGAACTCCCCTATATGTTCAGTCAATCAGGCAATAAGTCAGTACTATGCCTGAACGGCACTTGGACAGGAAAGCGATGGTGAACCGAATGACGACATTCGGTGGGATTTAATTAGTACAAGCCTTACGCGGTGACTGCCAAACGAATGAAAAGCATGCTTTCGAGTTTCAGTGACCCTCATAATGGCGACAACCACAATCACAGTTATAGTTCTAGTAATATTAATCGTCATACTAGCAGCTACTAGCAATAGCAACAACAGTACTAAGACTGACATCACTAATAAGTAGCAATAACCTTTAAATGTAAAGTAATAGCAGATCCTAAATCCTAAACCCCAAACCCTAAATCCTAAACCTTTCCTACTCTTTCCGGAAATCTGCTGGTAGTTGTCTGCAAGCTTCCAGGATGAACGATGGGCTGTACATGGACTTTAGGGTTTAGGATTTAGGGTTAAGGGTTTAGGATCTAGGATTTAGGGTTTAGGGTTTGGGGTTTGGGGTTTGGGACAGGATTTAAGGGTTCATGGAGGAGCTTCAGTGCATTTGCAAATAGGGACGGCTGCCAGTTCAACAGAAACTCAGAGACTGCATGGCCTGATGCTCTCCTAGCAAAGGTTGAGCTGAAGGGGGCTTTCAAAACCTTTGAGCTATAGTCTAAACTCCTTAAGGGGGTTATATAGGGGACCATTATAAGGGGTTATTAAGGGGTTACTAGGAGTTTAGACCATAGCCTAGTTGCATCGGATAGTCAAGACTTCAAAGCAGGTGCGTCCACAGGATAGAATGTAGGCAATGGTTTTGACAACAAAGCGTGGACGTTCAGCTGCAGAAAAAAAGTGATTTGTAGACATAGATCAAATGTTGGCTTCTACGTGCGAAAACAAGCAACTTCCAAAAATGCCTTTTTGCCTTAGACGAAACATGCGGGTTGCTATTACGGAACTTAAAAATTGAAAATAAACTGCTATAAGACAGGTTCATAGGGTTTAGGTTTACTATGTTAAGGAAACTCTATTATTTATCATATTCCCATAGTTTGGTAGTTTAGTGTAATGTGGGACCCTCTTGAATAAGTAGGCCCCCCCTGCCCTGTAACATAGGCCCCTCCAGGAAAAAAAATAGGGATTCTCAATACGGCCCCTCTGAGCTCCCACCGTTCTGAGGTCCCTGTGGATTGTTGAGAATTCTTTCTATACTGTTAGGCCCTCGAAATCAAAACACATTTAGGTGGCCTTGCAATCATTGCCTTGATTCTGAATAGGAAGGCCCCAAAACTCACTAAGGGACCCTTTCAATCAAGGAGGTCCAACATTAAGCTCCTTCATAGCAGCCCAGCAAGGGCTTGGATGCAACGAGAGATTTCTCAAATCCGCAGCTGCCGAGCTCAATCTAGCCAGGAAAGTTTCCAGGTGTGTTGCTATTTTATGTATGCTCAATAAAACTTCAGTTCATGAAGTGGCTTCGCAACTACTAATATGAATATTTCACTCCCAGCGGCTAGGGACTTTTCGAGCTGAGAGAAAACCTCAGTTATGATTAAAGCCCATTGATATCGCAGTCCTGATAAACGCCCGTATAGCATTACCTTGAGGGCGAGACCTTGTACCGTTGGTTCTTGCTTTGACATCTTGTGACCCATTTTCTTTGGGCAAACTAAATTATCCTGTGTCTGCCCCATCTTCTTTGAAATTGTTAGAAGTCCTACGGCCTGTAGCGAGTTCCAAGGTGCGCACGATTGCGGTGGCCCTCTTTTTAGACCCTGACCTCTTAATGAGGACAGCTTAAGGGGCTTGCAGCGCAGTTCCTTGCAAGGATTTCACTCGGAGTCCTTGGGATTTCACGGGTGGTTGGAGCTTCGATGTGTTTCATGTCCTTTGTCTTTGAGGAGTTTGTAGGGGTGCACGAAGAGCTCATACTGGAAGGGTCAGGTACTACAACACTCGAAGAGGAACTGTCTCTGGAGACTTGGTTTCAGACATGTCATTTCAGCTGACGTAGGGATGTAGTGTCCGACACCAGACAGGGCCTACAACTGTGTGGGAGAGATAGAGACATATGAGCCATTGTCTAAACTCCTAGCATCGCCCTTAATAGCCCCTAAAGTAGTCCCCTTTGTAATCCCCCATATAACCACCCTTTAAGGAGTTTAGACTATAGCTCATATTCCATCCACTTAAGGAAAACTAAGCTGCGACATCCTTGAAGCCAACATCGTTAGGATGCGTGTGCCCTACGGTCACCAAAACACCTGCCGATGCCCGTGGCTCAAGTGATGGTTTCTCAAGTCATGGGTCCCTGGTTTGATTGTCCTTGTTAAGGGGGATCCCAGTTATCTATCCTGCAACTACCACACAGTTTGCACGATTCTTTAGTAGCAGTAACATTGCCTTCTTCAAACGTCCAAAACCAACTTGGAGCGTGGGGAGCATTGGTGAACTGCTCTCTGAAGTTGAGGAAGGCCTACTTAGGGCGTAAAGTTGAAGCTAAACAGCGACTTGCCAGTTTAGGATGGTTGCCAGACCCCAGATCAAGCAGAGTTGTTTTCCTTGTTTTCTGCAGTGCACGCAGGCTACATGAGGTGTACTAACCAAATCATCAACTCCAAATGGTATGGATTTGTTTAACGAGGACACCTGGATGCAAAGTTGGGTCCTGTGGTCGTGCCATCGCAAGAGGCCCAGAAGATGAAACTCATTATCATTTGTGGTGCTGCTATAGGACCAAGGGTTCTACCGACCGTTGATCTCCAATTCCTGGCTTCTTGGTTGGGCCCATTCGGGCTTTGAAACTCCGGGGCACTGTAGTAGTTCTCAATTAGTGAGACACAAAGGAACCGACAGAAAGGAGGCCCCGTCCCAGCTCAACATAAATTCCAAGAAGTGCCAACAAGGACACTAGCCCCAAGAAATCCATCCTGATTGAAGCATGATATGAATGTGAACCACTGTATCGCCAATGACTCTGTTGACTGTTGACCTGCATGCAGGCCTCTGATGAATGAACCCCTTATCTTAACAAGAATTCTGAGAAGTATGGCAATAAACGGCTCACTAAACCTCCCAGCCTTCAATTCTCTATTGCCCTGAAGTCTGAACCCACAAGTCATGCATCATACATCCCTAGGTTTCCACCCCCCCCACCCAGGCCCTTGTTGAGGTTTAGGGTTTAGGGTAGGGTTTGGGCTTTAGGCTTTAGGGCTCAAAATTAGGGTGAGAAACAGAGACGAAACTCCAAGGCGGTGACGACCGGCCCGCTGAAGTTTGCATCCGGGCCTCCTCTTCCGACTGGTGCTTGCCCTGGAGATTCCCACTGGAGCTATATATCGTCTAAATTCCTTAGAGGGGTTCTAGAGGGGATGATTTATAGGGGACTACTATGGGGGTTTTCAAGGGGGATACCATAGTTTAGACTATAGCTCATGTGGGTTCAGGGTTTACGGGGAGTCCAGATTCTTAGAACTGGCGTACCTAAGCGCTTTCCAAAAATTGGGGCCCCCTTAATTGACCCTGAGACCCTAAACCACGCGAATGGTTTTCTGAGTCTACGTTCAACGGCCGCGCATGTATAAATGCACAGAATGAAGACTGTGCATGGGGGGGGTTCCCGAAAGTAGAATAAGGATTACAGAATCTTGTCGGTCGATATTGGGGTACCCTAATTTGGGGAAGTGACCATATGTTTTACATGGTGTCCAGGGTCGTCAGCCTTGGCTAAACGCACTGAGTATATGCTTCATGCTGGCAATGTCAATGTATTTTGAGGTGTCTTCAAACGCATTTGGAGGTTTCCAAGAGTGACAGTTGACAGATGGTAGTTGACAGATGGTACACTCGGGCAAGTTTCAGTGAAAAAGTTTTAAGGCGTCTTCAAAACACATTCTTAAGGTTTCCAGGAGCGACCGCGACAAACGAACGGCCACGATGTGGTTTTTCAATGTAGATACACCCAAAGCGCGATGATCCTCAATGTAGGAACCCAGAAAGTCCCGTAAGTTATACGTGTATAGGGGTCAATGGACATGCAGGGCTTGGGGTTCCAGCACTGGCTCTGTTTGTCATTTATCCTTCATTAAGGGGTTCGGGGTCTCTTGTTCAATTCTGCTCAAACATGTTACTCTTTGACGAGTTCATGGCCATTTGCATAAGCAACTTGAAGAAGAGCCTTTCCCGTCCTACATTCATCTGAATAGAAAATCCCAGCGGAGCTACCCATCAATGCTACTGTATTGCTGTCTCACGGACCCAGCAGCGATGGCCAAGTTGAAGGGCAAACTCTGGGAGCTTGAAAATCAAAAGCTTTGTGAAATGGTTTTGGGGCCTCATTCTTGAGACGTATATGCCTCCCTAATGTTGATGCACAATTCTCTGCAAGGTATATATCCAGTTGGGGCGTGATGATGATGACTAGGGCTTATAGGGCTTAGCCCACTGTCAGCATGAAGCAGAATTCGGGACAGCTTCCAAAAACAACGCCGGGAATTCAAACTGAAGCT